TATGAACCAAACCTATGACAGGCACTTCACTTACAGCATGTGAAACCTTGACACAAACACTGAACATCGATGAAACAACCCGGTGCACGGTCTTGCGGCTTCTCACCACTAGGGGGCAGCATCCCCCCAGCCACACTCAACTGGCCTAATCGATCCACTTCGGGGAGGAAACAGCCCCTCACGTCACCTTTGCGGAACAGTGGCCACATGAAGGACTCTGACCGGAGGGAGACACTCACCAGACGGAGAAATCAACACAAGGCAAAGGAAGGCAGACCACAGACTGGTTTTTTTTACTCTGGACTTTCGGTTTACATAGCAATTTTTACACAATAGCTACATTATTAATAATTTCCCCTACTTTCTCTCCCTGGGTAGAATTTGATAATTTACATGTTTATTTAACCTTTTTATTTTGAAAAACTTACGACTCCCCAAATTGCTAAAATAGTACAGAGAGGTCCCTTCTCGGCATCAACCAGCCTCTCTCAATAGTAATATCCGACATGTGCCATCCATCTATCATCAATCATCTATATCTCCATCAGCTATCAATCATCTCTCTATCAATCAATCATCTATCTATCTTCTACCTACCTACCCACATTACCAAATTCCAGACGTCGACACTGGCACACTGCGGTCTGGCTCAGACCTCACCTGACTGCCCGCAGCTTCCGCGTGCACACATTTCCGGTACGGTTTCGTGTGTAGTGCTACAACATTGTCCCTCGTGCACAGACCAGTACAACCACCACCACAATCAAGACAGAGAACTGGTCCATCAACACTGAGAAACTCCCTGGGTCAGCCCTTTGTGGTCACTCGCTGGCCCCCTTCTGCACCTCCTGCCAATCACCGATCTATTCTCCAGCTCCGTAGCTTTAGATGACCTTGACTCTAATCTGGAAAATACACAAGGCAAGGTGATCTTGTTAAAAGTTTCACTCTTTTATGAAACTTCTTGTTTTCATTTTAAGAGGTCAAAAGCTACGTGGGTAGCCCTGGCCGGTGTGGCTCAGTGATCCTGTTCCTGCCCCAGCACCTGGGTTCCCTCCCGGCAGAGGCCCCGCCCCTACCTGGCTCTCCCAGAGGAGAGGGGACCAGAGGGCAGTGAGGATGTGGGCTGACGGGCCAGACGGGAACTGGCGAGTCTGTAACTCGTCCCTAGGAGTGTGCGCCAGCACCAAGTGAGAGCTAGCAAATTACAGAGTTGTACAGGACATATGATTAAATGTATTTGGGGGGAAAAACATGCAGAAAGTGAACCAGAAAGATAAATCCCCAATATCAATGGGCAGGGGGAATATAAAAGAGAAACTGCAATTTTCTCTTTGTAGTCAAAAATTTCCCCATTAGGCACATGTTCTTTTATGGTAAGAAAAAACACATAAATGAAATCACCTGCAGGGGCTATCAATACCCTACAGTCACCGTGTGAGACTCCAGGGAGTTCACACGGTCCCCACTGGGTGACAGGCCGTGTCCTCAGCTGAGCAGCAGGCAGAGAGGGCACCTTTCCTGTTCTCCTGGTGAAGAATCCATGCCTCTCAGGCAACATCGACCCCCCGGTGGCAGGGCTGCTTCACAAAGCCTCTGACCTGACACCAGTGGGTCTCCAGGGCACGGTATTTCCTAATAACAACAACAGGTTGTACGTCCTTTCACTGTGTTGACATTTGCACAGACAATGCCACATGACTGATTGACTTCTAGGGTCTCCATGAAGTCCCACCGCAACGCAGAAACAGAGACTGTTATTTCTTTTTACAGATAAGTTAGCTGGGGCCCTATAGAAGTGAAATGATTTGCCTAAGGCTATCAAGCTAGTAAGTTGGGAGCTGGGATCCTGGGTCTGGTAAGACCCAAACCCACATTCCTCCCTCCACCTACATCCCATTGTCTATGACAAGGTAGAAAATGACGAGGCCAAACAACTTTCTGCAAACGCCACTTTCTAGGATGTGCGGAGGAGAGGCCGAGGGAACAGCAGGCACTGGACCTGATGTGCTGTGCTGACCCAGGGGCTACAGCCACAGCTAAACCCTCTCGTGGCCCCCAGACACCGTCCGCGTCCAGGCAGAAGCTGGTTGACCCGACCAGCCTCCGCCCCATCGGTGCTCACCCCGACACCTGTGCCACTCTTGGGGTTCCTCTCATTGGTCGTCACCATACCCACAGTCAGCAAAGGCACGGAGAAAAGAGACATGTCACCATGGCGACCGAGAGTCACCGTCACTTAGCGGGGCGAGTCTCTCAGGACCCGCCCTCCAGGAACCCCGCAACAGGGCCTTGCAGAACCCCTGCTGACAAGCAGCACAGCAGCGAACACTCCCTCCCGCCCGGACAGTCCGCCAAAGACAGAGAGCCAGACCCGACCCCGAAATCTACCTTTCATTTTCCTCCATAAAAATAAGTAATGTTTTAATATAAACTATTAAAATACCCTTTATAAGCAGAATCTTAGTTAGAAAATGGAACACAATAGACACTTGCTATTTCCTGGTTGAACTGAGGATATAATTAGAAAGTCTCAGAAACATGAAAGTACCTTTAAAAACATCGTACTTTCGAAATTTCAACTGTGCTCACTACTGCTCAGCAGTTCCAGCCTTCACTGGCCTGAGGAAATACAATTTGGGGGAATCTTCCAAGAAATACTGGTTCCCACGGGCGTATTCCAGAGCTTCGACCAGGTGGGGGTGCTCCCCCAAACCCTCGGCCTGGGACTGTAGGTACTGCAAGCGGACCCAGAAACCCCTCCCTCCTTGGGGGTCCTGGTTCCTCAGCACCCTCTGCTCCCAGGCGTGGCCCCATCCATCTCCCTGGTGGGCGCCCCCTTTCCTGGCCAAACACAGAAGGGAAGCAGCAAGCTGCTGACTGTTGTCAGGTTGTCCAAACTGCTGGGTCTGACGTTTTATTCAACCAGAATGGCGTTCCCTTAGTAACCAACGACAGAGTAAATGGGTTCTCCCACCCGCCCCTCAAGGGGATGCCACGCTGTCTTCGACGAGAAAACGTTGGATTTTAGATTTTTAATGAAAGGAATTGGCTCGTCTAGCCCTTTCCTGTGGCCTTCCCTAGAGCTGTACTCCTTGAAGAGCTGATGCGGGAGGCAGCGGCTGCAGCTCGGGGACGTTCGGGGGACACAACCCCACAGCGGGAGGACAGAGGCAGGTCAAGGACGCAGAGACAATGCCTGGCTCACGTCCACTTACTAACGGTGCGCCCGAGCAAACCCCACGATCTCTCTGTGCCTCAGCTTCCTTGTCCCCGAGGACCACTGTGACCTGTTGAATAAGTTCACACATGCGCACACGGCCAGGTCAGGACAGTGTTCAGTAAACGTGAACTGCCTCTGTGGCGCGGCGAGCAAATGCATTAATAGATAAGCTAATGCATTAATAGATAAGCTAATGCATTATTAGACAAGCTAATGCATTATTAGACAAGCTAATGCGGATGATGACGGGGATCTGGGTGGCCGCTGGCCTGCGTGGACGGCACACACCGGGGGGAGAGCAGAAACAACTGGTCCAGGATACGTGGACATGCCAACTCCTGATTCAAGCCCAATACACCTGGTCTCCTGGAAACTAAAGGTTAGCGAGAGATCCCTGCGAAAACAGCGCCCTCTCCGGCGAGCCTGGACCCGTTACTGCCAGAGCGAAGTGTGCGAGTCTGGCTTCCTTTCTTCCCACCAGCAAGGGGCAGGTGAAGCCCAGAGGAAGGAGAAACGAGACACCTCCCTTCTAAACGAGAGATTTAAATTCTCTAAGATTTACGGAAATAGCGTGGATTTATCAAAAAAAACCCAAACTGCAGGAATCTATACATCCTAAGGTCAAAAGGACCCACTGAGAGTTTTGAAAATAGGACATATTGCTATCTTCAACCCTCGTTTTCTGTAAGAGGGATCGTCACTGAGTAAGAGGAAGTCAATGGCATAAACCACCAACCAGAATTAAACTGTCAGAAAGATAGACACACACACACACACACACACACACACACACACACATATATATATCCAGTATAATAGGGAAAATATTCTGACTGGGCAAATACGCGGGTTAATACTAGAGAAAGTTTTCGTTTTTCCAGGAGGGACGCCAGCCATCTGCATCAGGCACATTTGTGACAGGTTCGTGCCTGAGGCCACAAAGCCTACCTGATATCTGAGTAACTGACCCAACGTGAGTGTGAGTTTGGCACCTGGAAGGAGGTCAAGGTTCAGTAGTGAGAGGCGGGGAGGGAAAGAGATGAAAATAGCCCCCCATCTTCAGGAAAAGGTGGAGGAAAGTACTGTGGCACTTTCCTTGGGCACCCACCCTTCAGCCTCCCTTTGCTCCTGTCTCTTGGCACTTCGGGGAAGCGAGATGATTAGGTGAGCTCACAGACTGGACCTTCTCAGTACGGACACGGTGTGAGTCTAGGGGAGGACGGTGGGCACACCTGAGGGTGCCGAGACAATTCTGCCGGCAAACAGGGCCCCCACCCCCACCTCCGTGTCTGGCCCCTCGGGTCAGCACCTCCAGGGTGCCCCAGTTTTAGGGATGCTTGTCATCTACTTCTCTAACCCTGGATTCCCTGAATCTTGAAACCTTTTTTCTTGGTAGCAGGTTAAAAGCATGTGGGAAGCGGGGAGAGGTTAACTATTTGTGAGTCAGGCATCGAAACGCACGGTCATCTTCACACAAGACGGGGCATGGATGTCTGACCCAGAAACCGTTGTTGCTCTTGCAACTAATTAAAAGGCAAAAGTTGCTCAAAGCCATCTAAACCAGAAACAAAACAATGGAAGAATGTGGAAAGGAATTTAGGCTAACCTGTTTCTCTCAGACTCATTAAACCTACCCAGCTATCAGCTGGGTCAGGAATACAAATTCTAGGGATTTCAGTGGCATTTTTCTTTACACAGGACTCCATACCTTTACCTAAAAAGCTGTTTGGCTGTAATTTAAAAAAAAAAACAACAAAACACTTGGGAAGTGGCTTACCAGATTTTTCAGCAGCGTGGACAGTTCCTTTGTAAGGGTAGAAAATTTGACAAAAGCGGTGCCAAGATCTGGGTTGTCGCGACTTAAAAAATTACTCCCGAACTTATCCAGGACTTGCGCATAGTTTTCTTCATTTTGCACATGATCTAAAACAGAAGAAGAAAGAGGCGTCTGAGCTATTGTTAGCAGCAATCCCGAGTGATCTGGAACATCGACCGATCACTAGAAACTCTGGAAAGCGAAGAGAAGCATCATCTATTATTGACCGGACACGTCCAGAACGTGGGGAGCAGGACGCTGAGTGTTCTCACTGCGAGAGGAGCTTCCCCTTTCTCCATCACAGCGTCTGGCTCACTGAAGCCCAGTTCATCCACCGACTCCCACAGGTTGAGGGCGTCAAATAACCATCACATTTTCAAGCAATTAAGAAACTGACGATCGGGAAATAAGGAGCACGTTCTCCTTAGGTAATCGATGGCAGAATGCAGAATAAACCTCACGTGCTCTGCCATCTCTTTCTCTGCGACTCACGTTCCTTTCCTTCCATTCTTTCTAAGCCCCGGTCTGAGGAGTAGTGCTGGTGAATGATGGGAACCCACAGAGAGGCACACCGCGCAGCCCGAGGAAATGTACGAAGAGGTGATGGGCAGCACCTTCACGGCAAGCATTTCGGATGTCCGTGCTCACCTCTCCCCCTCTCTCCTCCTCTGTTGTGGGGCACAGGGAAGCGTGAATTTATACAGGGACCCACAGGAGATGTATGATGTTTACTGAATGAATGAACAAATATGTAGCTAACAGAATCCTATCTTTAAAAGCTTAAATCAACACCTTTTGCTTTATAAAGCCTGCTCTAACTTGGCAGTGATTCGTCCTTGCCCATAACTCTCTGCGCCTCCTCTGCAACCTTTTCCACCACGTTGCAGCACATCTGCGCAAGCGTGGCTCTTTCCCAGCCACCGGACCACGAGGCCAGGGATGGCCTGCAGCCCACCTCTGCGTCCCCACCCAGTGAGCACCACGGTGCTGTTCCCAGCGAGCCAGGCTCAGGAAGCATCAGCTGACTTGGATTTGTTGATTTCCTTTTCAGGAATTAATTTTTTTTTTCCATTCCTCACCTGAGGATATTTTTCTGTTTATCACCAGATAGAGTGGGAGGGAGGGAGAGAGACAGAGAGAAACACTGATGTGATAGAGCCACATCGAATGGTTGCCTTCCGTGTCACATGACCCAACCAGGGCCGGGGACAAACCGCAACCAAGGTACGTGCCCTTGACCGGAATCGAACCTGCGACTCATTGGTCTGCGGGCTGATACTCTAACTGCTGAGCCAAACCAGCCAGGGCCCTTTTCAGGAATTAAAACGCATTCCCTTCTAAAGCTTCCCAGGTTGTCCAATAATGAGATGAAGTTTTAAGATACTTCACCCTCAGAAACACTCTCAGTCACTGCGTGGGAGCAGCGGGCTCGCGAGGACCAGAACACGCTCTGCACTGGGGAGGCGGCCCCGTACCACAGAGGACCGAGCGGCAGGGCCGTCCAGGAAAGGGAACGAGGCCCAGCAGCCTCCTGCTCATCACCACATTCAAGTTCATGATGCCCACAGTGGGTGTCAGCATTTCAGGCTGAGATAGTAAAACAGAGAAGACACAGCTTGATTACTGCCCCTGTTCACTCCGAGGAGCACAACAGAAAGGCCACATCAGCGGGGCACACAGGACGCCCGTGTCTTGTCTCCCTCTGACGCTGTGGCTACTCGGACACCTCTGCCAGGGGCCAGAGCGGCTCCCTCCGCACGGAGACCCCCACAGAGGCCAGCAGGAGGGGTCAGCTGCCTGCACGCCAGCTGCTCCCAAGACAAGGGTCTCGGTGTAAACGAAACATAAGTATCAGGTTTTTGGTTTGTTTGCTTGAAATGATAAAATATTTCAAATGACAGATATAAAAACCTTTAACAGAATACCCATGTGCCCTCCAACCAGTTAGGAAAGAAGGTATTAGAGAATGCTTCCCCCGCCCGCCCCTGTCCCTGCACCCAACCAACCTCTCCCCTTCCTCCCTAGACGCAGCCATCGTCCTGAACGCGGAGCTTCAGGCAGGGTTCGAGAGAATGATGAGAAGCCCTCAGTCTGGCAGGCACAATGGCCTCATCAAAAAGCAGAGGGACTTGGCTGCGGCAGAGAAGGCCACGGGAAGGAGCTTCGGCATTTGCTGCGAACGCTCTGACCCGAGCGCTTTCAGGGTGGTAGGGAACCTTCGCCAGGACGCGGCCAGGGAAGCACCGCACTTCCTGCGCGGATGGAACAGAAAATGCGATCTGAGCGAGGCAGACGGTGGGGGTGGCACCGAACTGCGGGCCAGGTCGGGGCCTGTATGTTCTGCTCATTTCACAACTGAATAACCAGTCAGTCTCTCTCTCTCTCTCTCTCTATATATATATATATACATATATACACACACACACACATATATGTGTGTATATAATATATAATATATGTAAAAATCACATATGTATACACATATGTATTCAAAATTTCCCAGTGCAAACACACATTTTAAAATATAAGAGCTAATTCAGTGAGCTATACCTTGAAATAACACTGATAATCCTATTGAGGGTAGAAATAATGGGAATTATGTGTAAGTTGCTTAGGATAGTGCCTGGCGTGTGGCATGACCACTGCCCCAAATAGCAGACGTCATGCCCTCCACACCCATGATTACAGAAAGAAGGATTTAATAAATAGTGTAGCAACTTATGCCTCACATTTTAAGTGTTTGTTTCACAGACCGCATTGTAAGTGTAAGGATGACCACTGACTACAAAGACGATACATATACACACGCGCGCGCGAGCCCCTTTGTACAGGGTAGGGGTTTGCCAAGCAGGTTTTCAACAGGCACAGGATGGGAGGGCAGGGACCAAGGATTCCGGTGGAGGCCAGAGCGGGGGAGGGATGACAGAGCACAGCAAGTAATGTGAACGGAATGTAAATTTGAGGGCTTGGGACAGAAGAGGAAACCAAGGGCGTTGGGGGGGGGGGGTGCTGTCAGGGGCATGGCTGAGGCTGCACAATGCGGCAGGAAGCGGCCTGATCCGCTAGGACATTTCAGAGAGCAGGACAACGCTCTGTGCGAAGATCTTGACAACACCCGACTGCTAGGAGACTTTTGGGAGGCTGGTGAAGGGAGGGCTGGGAGAAACTGGGTGAGCACAGAGAAGGGCTAAAGAATAGGGGAACAGAGAAAGCTGATCCATCTATCATGGAGATCGATGCTTCCCAAATATGTATACGGAATGTCTGGCATTCATGGTCTTGTTGCAGAAGGTAAGATAATTCTAAGAGCTGGGGGACTCCTTCCTTTCAGTTTTGGAAAAAGAACAAAATAACATTGTCTAACGAACCAAACCAGAAAGGACCATGAAATCAGGACTTCAGTTGCTGGCACTGCTCTGGAGGGAGGACTAACACACACTGACCACGTGATTGTTCCAGGCAGGTGGAAAGGGCCCTTCCACGTCCCCACACTCAACCCACATCAGCACCTGAGCAGTGATTCACTCTCCAGCAGTGACAGAGGTAACAGCGAGTCTGCTGAGCAGCTAGTCTGTGCCAGTCCCTACACGCAGCACTGACCTACGTTACTCCAGCCACTCTTACTAACAAGTGGTAAGTGCTGTCATCATCACCACTGTTAGAGACACGCACACGTACATGCACACGCACATGCACACGCCCCAGGCCATGCAGCTCATCCAGGGGAATTTAGGCTCAGGCCTCTGCGCTCTCAGAGCTGGGGACTCTCCCCCATATCCTAAGTGGGACAGACCTAGGTCCAAGCTCCAGGCCTACCCCGGGGTGGAACGTTGGTCGAGTCACTTCGCCTCTGCCAACCCCATCGTCCCCTGCTATGACGGACCTCGCAATGGTCTTGACCTCACAGGGGTATTGTGGGGATTAAGCAGGATACTGCACGGCACACCGTGAGCTCAGCAAACGTTTACGATGACAAGGACAGCGACGACGATGACGTCACCGGGCTGCCAGCCGGAAGGGCGGTGGCAGGGCCCCGACAGGGCGCCCACGAGGCACTGAGCTCACACTCCTCAGGCTGCAACGGCACGTGCCCTGGGAGCACACGGAACCCAGTGTTCTCCACGTGCCGATCAGCCCTGCAGCGAGGCCCCTCAGAACCTCCAGAACCACAGCCGTTGTTACACAGGCCTGGCTGAGGGGTGTCTGCCTGGTTGTCACCCTGGGTTAAGTCTGACCACACAGGGAAACAATCGCACAACTTCCAACCGGCCTGTCAACCCACCTTTGATTGTCCGTCACCAAAATCCGGACTGCCATGGATTAGCGCTGCCTGTGTAGGGTCCCACCACCGAGCATCCTGAACCCCTCGGGGCGTGGTTTTACAGGTAAGAAAGTGAAACTCAACGGTGAGTCCTGATTAGAACTTAGCTTCATTTGATTCCACCCCCCCCCCACACCTTTTTTTTAAATCCTCACCCAAGGATATTTTTCTATTTGTCTTCAGATAGAGTGAGAGGGAGAGAAAGGGAAAACATTGATGCTGAGAGGGACACATGAACTGGCTGCCTCCCGCGTGACCCCAACCAGGGCCGGGATGAACCTTGACCGAGGTACGTGCCCTTGACCGGAATTGAACCTGTGACTTGTTGGTCCGTGGGCTGACACTCTACCACTGAGCTGAACCGGCCAGGGCCCAAACCTCATTTTTGCTACTGTTTCAATATCAAATATAAGTGCAACCTCCTGGGCACACTTGTCATTCATTCTCCTCAGGGCCTTTTACAGCGCCCATTTCCGGCACCCCCCGACCTGCCGCGCGCCCAGTTCCCGGCGCCCCCGACCTGCCGCGCGCCCAGTTCCCGGCGCCCCCGACCTGCCGCGCGCCCAGTTCCTGGTGCCCCTGACCTGCCGTGTGCCCAGTTCCCGGCGCCCCCGACCTGCCGCGCGCCCAGTTCCCGGTGCCCCCCGACCTGCCGTGTGCCCAGTTCCCGGTGCTGGGCTGGGTACACAGTTAGTGCTCAGTAAAATGCTCACTGCACTTAGCAGAGTCTCTTAGAACAAGTCTTCTTCCTTTCTTCAAAAAATATTTAGTGTTGGCCCTGCGCCA